CGCCCGGCCCCGCCCCGGCCCCTCCCCAGCCTCCGGGAGCGCGGCGCGGGGAATGCGACCTGGGAGCGCAGGGCGCCGGTGGGGCGCGGGCTGGCGCAGGGAGGAGTCCAGGGCGCGCGGGCGGAAAGACTACATCTCCCAGGCCGCCACGCTTTCCAGCTGGAGTGCTAGGGCGCCGGCTGCTCCCCAGTTTCCGTAGGGAAGCGCCGGGTTACCTCAGCTATTGTGTATCGCCCCGTCGCCCCTCCGCTTCCCGCTCCCGTGTCCATGGAGGAAGGCTGCTTTTCTTTACCGCCCGCACTTAACCCTTCCGGCACCTACCCCGATCGCAGGCCGGCTCCCTCAGACTAGGGAGAAGCCCCGCCAGACGGCGGGCTCCGGTAAGGAAACCCTGGGGTACAAGGAAGATAGCCGAAGGACGAGCCTGAAGGCTCCGGCTTGGCTTCCTAGCCCCAGTGGGCTGGTGTGGAAGCGCTGGCTTTAAGAAGGGGGAGGGGACGGCAATCCGGGTGGCCCGCGGAGTTTAGCGAGGAAATCTTCTCTAGCTCCGGAGCTGGAAGCGCTGAGAGGCGGCTCCCAGCTCCAGCCTTCTCCCCCGCCTACACCCTGGGCGGGCCCTAGTGTCACGTTTACCAGAGCTCAGGAAGAATCCCGCAGGTCTCCGGAGGCGAGCCGGCCTGCGGTTTTTGCTGTGATGCCGAGGGGGCATGCTGCTTCCTAGGCAGTATCCTGTCGGGATCAGACTGCAGTCGTGAGCCATCCCTGCCACCTGAAGTCACCACCGGGCCGCGCGTGCCTCGCCACCACCACCGAGCGCTCCTCGGGAATCTCACTGGAACAGGTATCCATCCTCCAAAGGGAGAAAGTCTAGGACCAAATTTAAACGGGTCCCGCGCTCAGTCAACCACCTTTATTTCCCCTGTTGTGCCACTGATGCTCTCGGCCTTTGTGTCTTTTCTCTCTACCCCAACCCCCGCCCTCAGAAACATGGGGCATCCCCCGCTGGAGTTCAGCGACTGCTACCTGGACAGCCCCGATTTCCGCGAGAGGCTCAAGTGTTATGAACAGGAGCTTGAGAGGACCAATAAATTCATCAAAGACGTGATCAAAGACGGCAACGCTCTTATCAGCGCTATGAAAAGTAAGTACAAGTTTTTCAGGAATTGTTTTTCTCAGAGGTTCTTGCTTTTCAACCTTTCCACACCATAGGGGGAAGGGCAGAGTAGGAGTAACTCTGAGCCCAGGTCGCCTAGGCTAAGGATTTATGACCCTTCAGGAGTGGTGTTAGTAGACGTGGAAAGCGGTGAACACAATCAGAACTTTTGGCCTTTCCCTTTAATAGCTTTGACCTTAAAAGACATGATCTGCAGCTGTGCCCATGACCCTCTTACTCTGCCATTCACTCTTACTTAGTAGATGGTTGCTCAAAAGGACAGTCTGCTTGGATTATCACGTGTTCATAACCCCTGGTTGAGACAAGATGAAATTTAAATGGACCAAGGAACTTCCCCAGCACTTCCTAAATAATTGGAAATTAACGTCAGAAACTTGAGAAATGATTTTGTGCCAACCTCTGATTGCTACAGATAAATGTAGGGATAGTAAAAAAAAATTCCCCATGTACAGTTACTGTCTTAAGGTAAGTCCCTTTGTCCTAGTGATTTTTTTTCCTTTCACATATTGAGCAATGGCAAAGGTCAAGGTCATCGCAAGCTCAGAATTATGGGTTGGCTTTACGTGCTCTTGAATTCTGCTTGAGTATAGAACAAAGACTTGCCTAGTCTCTGGCATAAGGAGCCCAGTCCTCAGGAATTGATCGCTGTTGCATTGAAAGAACCTCACCCAGCATAGCTTTTCCAGTGGTTACTGCAGATGCAGCTGTGGGACTGTCCTCCTCTCTCCTTCTATGTGTGGAAGTTTTTATTTCTGCTGGTTGGCAGGAGGCTTGGCATAAAAAAAGGAATAATAAATACCCCTTTGAGCATGCAGGCAATCCAAGCCTTTGTGCCGAAGTATATGCCCTAAAGAATAGAGGGTAATGATTGAGTGGAATGATAATTATTTCTTTTTTTGGCTGAAAAATAATTATGGAAAATAAAGTCCCTGGTGAATATGTCCCTTTATGCTTATAACTTTGTTTCAAGTGAATTCATGTCCAAAACACTGCCTAGATTCAGTGTGGGGACTTGCTTAAGACAGAAGCAGCCAATTCAGAGTAGGGAGAAAGCCTTGGGAACTGTGGTGCGATCATTGGTAACCACTTCCAGTTTGTGTTTGTTGTGTAGCTCTTCCATTTGCCCTGGAATTTGTCCTTCTCTTGCACACGTATGTGCACTTTTGGTCAGAATCTGTAAATTGTTCAAGTTCCTGCAGGTCATTTGACTGAGTTGGATCATTTATAGTTGATCCTGTTGTGGCCAATGAATAGTAAACTCCTGAAAGTACCTTATCGATATGAGGTGTTTGAAAAGCTGATCCTTAGAGATATATATAGGCCAGGCTTTGGGGTGTGTTTCCACTTAAACGAGTTCCTTGAGATATTAAGGATATGCAGGTTATGTCACAGAAATAGAGAGGACTTCAGTGAAGGTGGAAGGGGAAATGTTTGGGCTGTGTTGTTTCCTATAGCAAACTGCTCGGTACTATATCCTGTCAAATGAAGCACATTATATTCTCTAGGAAGAAGGTGGTTTGGTGAAATGGACAGTTAAACTGCAGGTATGCTGAAAAGCTGGATCAGCTAAGGCATATCAGAGAGATTAAAAATGTAAGAAAAGATACAGTAAAACATTTGGGGTAAGGGCAAATGTTTTGTAAGATACAAGGGAGTACTGTTGTAGTTTTTATTTCTTTTCTGAGACTAAAAGGAGCAGGGCGTCAGCAATCATGAAGGCCCAAACCTTTGCATATGGGCAAAAGATCCAAAGATACTTTAGGCCCAGAGTCTGTTTTTAGTATACATGGAAAGCTAAAAACAGAATGAGTAGGAAATAAAATCCAGCAGCAAACCCTGCTCCATTTCTTTTGTTCAAGTTGTGTAGACTCTAAATGCTTGAGTAGTTGAAGGCAAAGGCTACATGTTTCCCACTGTCTCAACCACAGTAATGTTTATACAGAACTCCCACTCCTTCACCCATTGCCAGCTGGGTCACTTTCTGAGAAGAGGTAGGGTAGATGCAAAACAAAGGTGTGCCCTTTCTTTGTGTGGAGGAGAAAGTAAAAGACAACACTGAAATTGGAGTGAGAACATTTGGGTGATAGTCTTAGCTTCCCCACCTTAGCATCTGACATAAACCGCTCATTTTATCTGCAAAATGGGAGTAACTCAAGCATTTAAAATTTTTTTGTGGAGAAAGAAATATTAACTGTCCCAATTTGATTATTATACACTGCATGCAAATTGTCAAATTAGGATACTGTACCTCATAAAATTGGCACAATTAAAAGTGACGGTAATTATATCTACCCCGCAGTCATAAGGCTCAAAGGAATTGATTCTGAAAGTTCTTTGTATATGGAAATGGCTAAATATAGACATTACAGATAATACATCTTTGGGTCATTAATATCTGCTGGAGAACATACAATTTTCAGTAGATTTCAGAAAGGAAATACATAAGCAGAAGTCGTTGGAAGCAGAGCCTGGTTTTTTTTTTTTTTTTTGGTCCGTAATCTTGTTGGAAAATGTTTACCCCTACATTGGCCTGTCTCAGTAATGAGTTTTGTAGTCAAGTGCATAGATCCATCTTGAAATCTGGAGTCTGGCATTAACAGGCAGGGGAATGGTTGAGACATTTTTATCTGACAAATTTGACCATCAAACAGCTGTTGTTTCTAGGAACCAGTGATACATGGCATGCTATGCTGTGCTGTAGGAATCAGCTGGAGTTTTTCTTAAAATTAATGCAGGTGGAACTCAACTTCTACATTTTATCTTGCTTGTTTGGCTTGGTATAGAACTCTAAATACAGTTTGAGTTACAACTGTGTGTGATGTTAATTTGTGAAATGTAGATACTGTTTGAGGATTTACATTTACTCAGCTCTATGTGGAATTGATATTATGAATGATATTCAACTTGTCTCCCTGGAGGAAGTGGTTGATGTTCCCATCCCCCATTAAATGTGGTCTGTTTGTAATTTTTGGAGCATGAGATGATTATACTTTAAATGAATGGAACCAGGTTTGCTGTTGCATGTGTGTAATGCTAGCACTCTGGGAGGCTGAGGCAGGAGGATCATAATTTCAAGCCCAGCTTGGACAATTTAATGACTTACTGAGATCTTGTCTCAAAAAATTAAATGGCTGGAGATATAGCTCAGTGCAAAGGCCACAGCTTCAATGCTTACTACTGAAAAAGGCTCCAAAACTAATAGAAAATAAAAACATCATTCTGACATTACTCATTTTCTGTCCTTTATTTTTATGTTAGCTGTTTAAGTCCTTGATGTTTCTTGAATATTTGCTAAACACAGAGGCAACGCACTGTTCAAAATAAGTGATGTGGCCTCACACATGCCAGGGCAACATGGAACACATAATAGATATTATATGTAGTGCACCAAGCACATGACATTCATTGAGTATATACTTGTGCATGTTGCTTTGCTCAAGTCATTGTTGGGAGGGCAGTTGAGACAGCTACAGTGAGTCACAGATAGATACTTAGCCTCAAGAAGGTCCTAGGCTAATAAAGGAAACAGGACGTGGCTATAAATCACTGATTTGTAGGATAGTAGATATAGATCAGAGGCTAGGAGCAAGGAGGGTGGCAGGATGTGATGGTATGTGACATTACAGGAAGTGCTCATTTCCCAATAGGAGGATGGATAGGGGAAAACAAAGGAGAGGCTACTACTGGAGTTAGGCAAAATAATAGCACTTGTCCTTTGTTTAGCTATTTTTATGTGATAGGCATTACATCTTGTAATGGTTTTATGTGATAAGGTTTATTAATATTTGGTGGTTTTGAGAATCAAGCATAGGGCCTTACACATTGAGGCAAGCCCTCAACCACTGAGCTACATCACCAACCTGATAAAGATTATTAGTCCCCATTCTATAGATGAGAAAATTATAGTTCAGAGGAGTGAGGTAACTTCTGAATTAATAAGGCCAAGAGTCTGAATCAAAACTTAGATTCGACTTTGAAAGTTCTGCTTATTTTACAGTATGACACTGTTTTCAGGACAGGACACTTTGTAGGAGGAATGACACAAAGATTGTAAAGGGACAACAGATAATTCAGGCCATCTGAGATACAAGCTGCACAAAGGGCGGTTTGGGAAATGAGATGGGAATGGAAGGTTGAGACCTGACTGTACAGGACCTGTTAAGTATTTCAGACTTCATAGGCAGGGCGTCTTAAAAGGTTTTTGGTTAGACAAGAGCATTGTTTGAGTTGTATTTTAGGAAGATTAATTTTAGAATACTGCATAAGCTGTTAGCAGTCTCACAGAAGTTTTTTTTTGATAGTATGAGTTTATATACTTTTAAAATATGGCTCATGATCAGCAAACCTTTTTTAAAGAGGGCCATATATTACCTACTTTAGAATTGGAGGGTCATGCAGTCAGTCTCTGACAGCTGCTCAACTATCTCATTGTTGAAAAAGCAGTCAGAGAATGTGAATAAAATGAGATTCAGTAAATCTGACACTGAAATGTCAATTTCACGTATTTTTTCACATATAAAACATTTTTTCTTTATATATTTATTTTTCACCCATTTAAAAATGTAAGGACTAGGAGCATTGCTCGGTGGTAAAGCACTTGCTTAGCTCATTTGAGGGCCTAGGATGGCTGATCTGTCTTTCTGTCTGTCCATCCCTGTACCATCCTCAGGTTGGCCGGTGAGGGAAATATATAGAAATAGGTAGCAGGTTGAGCTTGCTTTACCAGTTATACTTTACTGACCTCTGGTACAGCTGGTTAACCTAAAAAACCTAAATGGATTTTTACTGGAGTGTAGCTGTTGGGAGAACATATGCTATATATCACATTTTCCATGAACTAAGGTTACTCTGAGGTGCTATTAATTATACCTGCTTTAGCGTCAACATTCCCAGACTCACATGCTGTTAGAGGTTAAGGAATAAAAAGTATGAAGCTTCTGGAAATGGGTTATTAGGGCTGGAGTTAT